AGTGGGCCATTCTGCACAATGGAAACGGAACTGTATTAAATAGCATAAGAACTAGACGAGATGTCCTTAAATATGGGAACGTTTTCCCACCTCTCAAATTCCATGTCCATCGGCCTCATGTCACTATTTCAGACGTCCTTGAAGCGAAAATGCCGTCGCCAACGTCCCCTTTGTCGGTGACCAGTTCCGAAGAGAAATAGTGTAAACAATAAGCCAGATATTCAAACAAAAATTAACAGAAAAATTTGAAGAATTTCAAACGAACATAGTACTGGTCATTGGAAACTGAATTCCTCATTATGAGGAAATATCTAATATTTTACAATTACCATGCCTGATATTAACATTAACATTACTAATAAAGTAAGCACGATTGATTGCTTCTACTAGCATCCGCAGTATTCAGCTAGAATTGGTTGGCGCTTACCGTCATCTGCCATCGACCGCTGCATGTCAGGCCAATTTAGCGAGCAGTTGATACTGGCCTATCTGGAGAGGTACTGGCTGCTACAGGTTGTTTTGTTTGGGTCATTGAAGTCTATTATTTATTTAGTGAAGTTAATTCTAGGAGAAGGCTATCGTAGTTCGACGTCCGGGAAGAAACAAACTCACTACACTTGTTCTGTCGTTTTGTGTCGGCTCGACAAGCTTGTTAACCAATTACCCACACCAGGCTTTCCAAGCGCGCTCCTAAGTATCGATTTACATATTCAGGATTTGTAAATCATTATTACCACAATGTTTTGTGTCTTGACGCGTGTGTCTTTCGCTATTGGTTACGTATTCTGTTTCAAACTTGTTTGTCCGATTTCTCACACAAGAAACGTTAGTCGAGCCTGCTTTCCTTTGTTAGACAACAATGCAGGTTAGTTACCATGCGAGTGTCATTCAGTGTTCGTGTTTCTTTTGAAACGGCTACAGTAAACCAATAAAATGCAATCGAAGCGTTTGCTAGCCGAACAATAGCACAATTATCTGACAACGACTCCGGTTTGCTTTCGAAGGTCCAAGCACGACGATACTGAGAGGGTCGCACGCGCAATTATTTGTCAATGTGACATCGAAAGAATAGAATCGATTAGAAAACAAATTGTTGCCTAAGAAGGAAAGATCTTAAGTATTAAATCGTCAGAGAGTAAGAATCAGCAGGGATACCGTATGGTGCCCAGGTTTTAAAATGCTTTCAAGAGTTATACCTCAGCTGCTGATGGCGGCATAGAATTTGATATGGCTGTACAGGCTCACATAGGAATGACAGTTTCGGTTGACACAAATCAGTGTAATGACGCTCTTAACACCCGACCACCCCGATGTCGCTGTGTTGTTTTCTTTACTCCGAACACATTTCTCCCCGGCGGCAAGTCTCCGTTTTTCCTTTCCTCGCTCCAGCCTTTGGTGTACATCCTGTCTCTTAGCGTGAGCCAACGCTGGCGACGTCTTCCCACCTCTCAAAGTCCATGTCCATCGGTCTCATGTCACTTCTGTAGACGTCCTTAAAGCGAAGATGACGTCGCCCTAGTGCGCTATTGTCGGTGACTAGCTCCGCGTACAGAAATACCTTCGGAATCCTACCATCAGCGGCAAGTCTCCGTAGAGTGCTGCTCCCCGTGTTTTGCCGTAGCGGTAAGGCGAAGCCCAGGGCTGGGTTTTATGAGAGTTCGTTTTTTTTCTATGCAGCACGTCTTCTCTCTCCACGCCACTAATGTTGTCCAAGGAAAAGGTAGGATCCCATAAGGTTTGCCATAAGCGTCTTCGCAGTAGTTGCCAGAACGGTGTTAAACATAATATCCGACAATCTTAGAGTTTCCGCCTACTGATTTGTCTTCGGGGTTTACTCTCGAAGCCTATCCCATGATTGCGTATGGCCGCAACACAGAGGGAGTTTAAATTCAGAATTTGCCTTCTTTTAGATATTCTACAAAAAGTTATGTCTCAGCTGCTGATGGTGATGCAGCATCTGTTATGGCTGTACAGGCCCACACACGAGTGACAGTCTCGATTGAAACGAATGCACGCGAAGACGCTCTCCCACGGCGTTGTTGTCTTTTCTTTCTGTCGATCACGCTTCTCCACAGCTAGAAAATTCCAATTCTTCTCTCCTCGAACCAACCCTCGGTGTAAATCGCTTCTCCGTGTAAACGATAGTTAGCGACATCTTCCCATCTCTCAATGTCCATGTCCATCGCCCGTATGTCTCTATTGCAGACGTCCTTGAGATGAGGTCTCCACCTTGCTGATGGCCAGTTCCCCGCATAGAAATACCTTCGGAATCTATCCCCTTAGCTGACTTTTGCTTCCCGTGTTATGTAGTCGCGGTGAGACGACACGGGAGTGTCCTTTCTAGGATGCAGGCTTGAGCAGGGATTTATGAGAGATCGGCAATTGCAGCCCGTTTAACCTCTCGATGCCACCGATGTTATCCAAGAGAAAGGGAGTGGCCAATAAAGCTTAGCACCATCACCTTGGTCACAGGAGTTGCCAGAAGCAAATTAAACATAATATCAGAAAGTCTTGGGGACTCTGGCTCCGGATTTATGTTACTGTTTTTTGGGTATATAACACGTATAAATAGTGAGCGAGTCGGAATGACTTATTTCCCTTTATAGTCGACCAATAGAAGGTTGACCAATCAGAAGCCGCCCAACACTGCATCCCTCGTGTATAAAGGCGGCCATCTTTGTTTCTCCTAGCGGAAGGACCAGAGGCAACTTGTCAGGCGAACATGACAGACGGAAGAACTACGCTCTGCTACTTTGCTGAGATATCCACTGCGAACCTGCACTACGCTTTCCTACTGTCTCCGAAATATTTACTGCCAACCTCTGGATTCTATACTCGAGGACGACCGTCATGAAAATGTCTAACAATTTATCCTCAGTGTTTACAACCGAACCCTTTCCCAAGCTTTCTCTTAGAGAGACTACACTCCCGGATTAACGAATTCCGTCAACCTGAAAATGTAAGGAAGCTATTCGTTTATATATTTTCACATTTTTTCGTCAGATTTCTTTTTTTTACAATGCAACTAATCTTCGTCCGACAAAGCCCAATGGCTGCCACAAGTTCTTCATCAAGCATTGTTCATTTTAAATCACAAAGAGATTTACTAATTGCCTCAAACTACCAAAAGATAATCAAAGTAATAAGTAACAGGAAAATTTCGTAACAGACAAAGTAAAAAGTACTGAACTGTTAGGTAATATCAGCCGTCCTATATGGCAGTGAATGATAAACAATCTCATCACAGCTGAAGAAGTGACTGGAAGTTATAGAAATGTCTTCCTAGAGAAGTACACTGCGAATACAATGGATTGAACATGTGAGCAACGTCAAAGTTTTGCCATATTTAAACTTAACATCAAGAAAAGACAGTTAAAGTTTCTATGGCACATAATGAAGAAAGAGGGCTTGGAAAATCTGATACTCACAAGACAGATTGAAGTTTTGGTTTGGATTGGTTTGTTTCAAGGCATATCATCCTCAATGGGTTATTTAATGCCAACAAGATTGTTATTGCTGGTAATATTTAAAAAAAATATTTTGCTGATAATTAAAAAATATTCCGGTATTAAAACCTATTTTTACACTTGCATATTGTTTGGGGGTTAACTATTTGCCCATAGCTGGTGCCCTAACAGGTGCTACCACCCCGGGTCAGGGTGGACCTGGAAACACCAGCAATTAAGAAGTGGTTCCACGCTCCTCAAAGCCTCCTGATCAGAGGCCTTGCTGTCGGACGTAGTTTATCGTCTTACCCAGGATGCGGATGTTGTTTATCGTCATACCCAGGACGACAGATTGAATGAAATAGCAAAAAGACTATATTTATTAAGAGTTATAGAGAAGAGGTTGTGAAGAAGCATAGTTGCGTCAACATCCTTAAGAGATACAGCATAGAGAAGAAGAAATATTTCGAAACTTCGGATAAACTTCTCGCGGTTTGCATCGCTTGTTTTACGTGTCACTACACTACCAAAGAATTTTTTTATACAGGGTTGGCTTTGAGGTCCCATAAGGTAATTCTTGCTTGTTTCTTTGGCTGAAACCACAGCTTTTTGTCTCTAATCTATAATTAGCCCGTCATTTATTCATGTTTCTCATTACTAATATGACGAAAGGTTCCTTCAGTTTTCTTTCTGATTCTGCCACAAATAAATTAACGTTGGTGTATCTTTATGATTTCCTTAGGGTTTTATCGTTGTCCGTTTAAAAACTGCATGCTGGTCTCGCACGTCTCTTTCTCTATCCGCGTGCAGGTTATTTGTTCCTAGTAAAGGTTACAAATTACTCAAATATTTTTACCATATAAACTACGTTTTTTCAGTAGTTCAAGCAGTCTTTATATCTTACCTTATCAAATATATGCATAATATATGCATAATATATTTTTTAAAATAGGAAGAGATGCTACTACCTTTGTACTGAACGTTTTCATACCATTCTGCTCCAAACACTACCATTTTCTTCTCTTTTCTTGAAAAAAAATCTACATTACTCTTTCCCTATTTCCATTATAAATAATTATTCTATAAGCTCTTGTTCATTTGAATCCTAATCATAAGTTTAGTTATGTGGCTTATTATATTGATTATCCGATAGAGCTTGCATTTATTTTCGCCTGGTTTCGTTAGTATCTCTATAAAGACCTTCTGGTATTTCACCGCTGTTTTTTTTTGGTGGGGGTAGTATCTTATCGATTCCGACATCGTTTAAGGAATTTCAGTTACATGATTTGATTGGTTGACTGATTTTATTTGAACGGCTTTTGCAGGTTATTTAAACCAGAACATATTTTGGTATGTAAGAGATCTTTGACGATAATAACAATTTACTGATAACATTATTACTATTTAACCCATAATTGAGGGAATAGTTACATTTGTACCTTTCTCCAGGGTATATGGGTGTAAGTGAATACAACAAACCCGATTGGAATTGGAACATAGCTCTCGATTTCTAGTTGCCAGTTGTTATCCATTATGCTACACGAACATCCAAGCTAACAGCATCTGAAATTCCCAAGCGGTCACCCATCTAGGTACTGACCAGGCTCGACGTTGCTTAAGTTTGGTGATCGGAAGTGAACATATTTGGTTTTATAGTCTATGCTATTTGTACTAATAGTCTGTAACCAACAAGAAATATGGCGAGCAAATGGAAGGTAAAATCGCTATGCATCTGTTGAAATTTTATTATTATTGAATATTCCTGGCATTAACGTAGAGTGATTTGAATAATCTCTGGTGAATGGTTGTGAAGGCATTTCAGAGTCATATAAGAAGTTTTACGGTATCGATATATTAAATTACATTTCATTGTCGGAAAAGTTAGCAGCTGAGTAAAAATTTAAAAATCCAACTAGCTTATATATTCAGTTCGGATAATGTATATCAGTGATTTTATAATCAATAAATCCTAAGTAATCATAGGTAAAACCGTAGTAGTTACTGCGACGTGGTAGGCACTTGTCCCGAATCCAGCTCAATTATCACAGTTTAGAGTTTCTAGGAGGTGAGAGAGCTGTGATGGAAATTCATAAGCATCTAGAGTATAATGTCATTTAAATAAGAGAAAGATAATTAGTCTTTCTTTTAACACTTCCTTCCATATAAAATGATATGTGAAATCAGGATATACGATTTTATGTCACGTCAGAAGCTGTATCATTATTCCAATACGACAGTCAGATGTTAGATGGAGCTAAAAAAATGTAAGAACATGGTGAAAAAAAAAACATAATCGTACATTAATAATATTGTTACTTCAGCTCCAGAATCCAAAACACGTTATGACACTCAGTTCAAAAGGATGTGTTGCGTTTATTTATTTTTATTTTTTGCGACCTCAGCTGTTGAAACGAACGTGAATAATACAAAAAAGAAAAATATGAATACCGTATCACTCTTTCTATTGTAATTTATTTTTCATAGAATATTGTGGAGAAATAAAAAAAGCAAAAAACAAGACGATCTTTCCAATTTGTTTTGCGCATTAAAAAATGAAAGTACCCAAGAGCAGCTATGTAAAGAACGAAGACATTTTATTGTCGTTCACAATTTAATAGAAAAAAAATCAAACTGCGTCAGTTTTCCGAAAGACGTTTGCTAAACACGCAAGACTGCTCTTACCAAGACTGGTTTTATAAACTAATACAAACCCTGACACGAAAAAGTCTACGAAGAAATTAAAACAATTGTACATTTAGAATACTTGTCAACTTATAAGAATCATTCCCAGAAATTATGATAAATAATCATGGAAATTATTACAACGGGGTCAATATTTCATCTGTAGAAAATGCAATGTCGAATATCCACATAGAAATGAGTACTTATATGAAGAGGCGTAAAATGGCCGACGGGCTTCGTTGTGCTGTAGTTTAGTAGTAAATCTGTTTTAGTGTGTTGCTTTTTTTACTTATAGAAAGAATGTATGCTGGCTAATAATAGGAACATGCAATAATGCGAGCTATGAATTGAAGATGTTAATATCAAGTAAGAAAATTTAAATATCTTCGAAGTACTTTAAGAAGAGACGGAATCTGTTAAACCTAAATCTAAAGTATCTGTCTATATTTCTGAGATGAGGTATTATGTACATTATTTACATTATTCGGGCTATAGTTCTCATCTTTGTCGCCATATTTATTACAACGTTTCGGCCGTTGTACGCTCCGGCATTCTTCAGGTGGTTGGAATGTCGAACTGAACCCTTTATTTCGCCCACTGGGGTAGACTGTTCTAGTTCCATGTGCCATGTTTTTAATGGATGTCTGTTATCAGTTATCTCCTTGTTAATTTCCCTCTGAAAGTTCTCCACTGCATTAACCTGGTATTGAACTCACACTCTTTGGGTCCTGTCAATGGATCTAACCAACGCCTTTATCCACTGTGCCAAGTGTCCTTGAGGAAACGTTGTAATAATAATAATAAATACGGCGACAAATAATGTCTAAATCTAAAGGTACATTAGAATAGAAAAATAAAATCTCCCAAAGTCTACGCAAAGTGTAAGGAAACAGAAAATTTTCAGTGGAAGCAAAGAAAAAAATTTTAATATGCTATGTAATATCAATTCTCCTACGTGACAGTGAATTCTGGACAATTTCCTCTCAGATGACAACATAGATATAGATTTACAGTAGGATACTGAGAATACCATGGACGAAGCACTTTAAGAAAAACGAAGTTTTAAGAGAAATTGAAATAAAAAAGAGTGCTTCTACATATAACCAGAAAAAAAGACAATTCTATTTTCTAGGAGACACGATGAAAGACAGCTTGAGGAATCTAACACTCACGGGATATATTGAAATGAAGGACAAATGGAAGCACCGAAAAACGTAACGAAGCAGCTTATACAAATGGATAATATATCAGGAATTTAGATAGATAGTGGAAAGATAAAACTAAATAGCTACAAAGAGTAGGATGTTTTGGAGAGCCATGATCAACCACGTCCTGTGGTGACATGGCATATAAAAAAATCTCAAATCGAGGAACATTTCGACACGATATTTTAATACGTTCCCCTTACTTTGGACGTAAATGTTGACAAATTTTGAAATCGATTTGGCGTTTTAATTCTGGGCAATGTATTCATGACTTATTTCGACTTTCGCCAAAAACCAGCATCTAGATATTTAAAGTTAACTCCATCGCCAGATATGTGTCATGAAGGAAATGAAAGCTGAAATGGGGGTGCATATAAATGATGCAATCATGATTTTCGATATCAATTCAGCACACTCTAAACGCGCATTTATTTCGTGATTTATGCAAGGATGTGCAGGTTGAAGATCCAGTTCTCTTTCATTCATATGCAAGTGGGTTGGATTTCCCGTGGAAATATTTCTAAATCGAGTAGCAGGTCTCAGAGTTATTTATGACGGATCGAAAAACATACCCTTGCAGAACAGTTACCAGCTTTGCACTTGGATTACATTTGTCACTGACTGAGCTGACATTTTTGTTTCGTATGCGAATTTGTTGAACAAAGGAGTTTAAGAGAAAAGGCCAAAGTTTCTTTGGCAGGAGAATGTACGTTGGCATTGGCATTAAAATTTTTGTAGTGAAATCAGAAAATTCTTTTTAAAGCTAGCAGATTTTTTCTTCAAATATTAGCATCAAGAAGAACTCTGATCAAAAGCAACAAATGATCCCTTAAATATTTTAGAACGTCATTCATATGAGCTAATCTGGATTTTAAATCGGTTCAAACGGAAAATATGGTAAGGAACCTGAAGGGTCTAACGAACTGGAATTGGTTTGGTTTGTTTTACGGCATATCAACCTCAATAGGTTATTTAATGACGAAAACATTTTTAGAATAGATTCATATGAATAGAATATGTATTCTTTGGTTTAGATTGGTTTAGTTTATTTTGTTTTACGGCATACAATCCTCAATAGGTTATTTAATGACGAAAACATTTTTAGAATAGATTCGTATGAATAGAATATGTATTCTTTGTTTTAGATTGGTTTAGTTTATTTTGTTTTACGGTATATCAACCTCAATGGGTTATTTAATGCCGACAACATTTTTAGAATAGATTCGTATGAATAGAATATGTATTCTTTGGTTTAGATTGGTTTGGTTTATTTTGTTTTACGCCATGTCAACCTCAGTGGGTTATTTAATGCCGACAAAATTTTTATTGCTGGTAATTTTTTTTTTTCAAAAATGTATGGCTGGTAATATTTTTTTTTGCTTCAAAAATCTATTTCTGATATTTTTCTTCAAAAAAATATTGTTGGTAATATTGTATTGTTGGTAATATTTTTTTACAAATTATTTCTGGTATTAAAACCTATTTTTCATACCTTCATAGTGTTTTTACCCCAGTTAAAGGTTTAAGTATTTGCCCATAGCTGGGACCCTAACAGGTGCTACCACCCAGCGTTAGGGTGGACCTGGGAACCCCAGCAATTAAGAGGTGGTTCCACGCTCCTCAAAACCACCTGATCAGAGGCCTTGCTGCTGGACGTAGTTTATCGTCTTACCTAGGACGCGGATGTAGTTTATCATCATACCCAGGACGGCTGAAATTTGTATGCGTAGAGTTATGGGAGAAAGTTTGGTTGGACATCTTTTTGGGGTGTTAGAACGCGACAAGGAACATGCTTCGTTTGCGGCAATTTTAAACCAGGCTCTTCCTTAACTAGTTCTTACTTGTGGCACGTCATTTCAGGAGATGTGCGATCATGGCTCTCCAAATCGACATCAACCTTGTGCGCTTCCCTGCTTTTGCTAAGGCTCCCAAATAGTCATCCTTCATCCATTCTCACAAGCTCGTTGGGTCCATTTACCCGGCCTCCCCACCGAGGCTGGATGTGATACAAGGTCGTTCTTAACACGGGATCACCATACACATACTTATGCATATGAGCCAAGGACAAAAGTTTAGATTTTGCCCAGCCCAAGCGACCACTGTCACGCCAGCATTGGTATTACACCGACCCAACCTCTTTATTGCGATGGGGAAGGTACTACTGCAGGATTTGAATCTCAGCAACTTCTCCCATCTCAGCAACTGAGCAACTTCTTCCATCGAAAATGAGGAGAATCATAGCCCCACTTATAGTATAGTACTGAGGCGTTAACTACGCCTCAGTAAACCCTAGCTAACTAATGGTTAACTCCTGTGCCAGTTAAAGTAAGTTGGTGGCTCTTAACCACCGCTCTCTCTCTCTCTCTCTCTCTCTCTCTCTCTCTCTCTCTCTTGTCCTCCATAGACATTTTTACAATTCCCTTTTTTCAAGTGACCAAGGAACTTCAGCTGACTTTTCCTGATTCTGGGCTTACGTTTGCTTTTTGTTGACATTGTCATTAAAATTACCTCGTTATTTACCATATAAGAGGATATATAGCACATAGAAATCTAGCACTATTTTTTTTTTAATATTTCGCCCCAAGCAAGGCAATAAACTCATGGTAACGCAAGAGAGCGAAAGAATATGAGAAAAATATTATTAAGGAGAGAGAGAAAGAGAATGAGAGAGAGAGAAAGTGAGTGCAATAAAAGAACAGTAATTAAGAAAACAGAAGGTAAAGATTGACGTTGCTTTTAATTTTTTAACTATC